CGTTCCCGGCTCGCAGCAGAATTGCCGGGCTCTGGGTGAGGCGGAATGCGCGATGATTTGGAAATAGCAAACTCTGCGAATTTCCACAGCGCGGAGCGTGTAGTATCTCTGTGTAGGACTACTACACCCGTTTTGTCGCACAGCGCGGAGCGCCCGTTTTGTCGGGAAAACAGCAGAAATTTGGTGTGTAGCTACATGGAATGTGAATAAAATCTATACTCAACTGGTTCTTTCAAGTGCAGAGGAATGGTGCTTGGAAATCTGTTTCCCGCCACAGCGCGGTGCGTGTAGTAGGTTGCTTCACCGCGAAGCTCACTGCACGGAAATTTGCATTTCACCACAGCCCGAGGTTGCACATGCCGTCCGAGGTGTCCCTTCCAGCTTGCAAGTGCAGTTGTGGAGTCTTGTGTGCGGCAGTAATTTGACGCTCTCAGAGTCGGCTTAGGGTTTAGACCTTCCTAGAGGGCCCAGTGGCTCTAACCCGATCGCTTTAATGCTCTTGGTGCCGTTGATCGTCTTCGGCTTGCCGACAAGACATTCTTGTTTGGAGGCTGGATAGCACACTGGACGACTAAGACAGGATGAACCCCTGCGAAATAGACTGTTTTTCTCGCGTCCTTGAATGTTGATTTTTAAATATGATTCGAGAAATCCCAGTCCCGGAAATAATTTCCCTCTTAATGCTCTCTCTTGGTGCTCTTTGATGACCGTTTTGATGAGGAAGTTTCGTAGTGATCGCTGCTCGGCTTGAAGGTTCGACTGTCTGGACCTAGAAACTCAGTTTCTACTAGAGTCTCTGCCGGAATCAGGCGGATTCGATCCAATCCGCAGAAGAAACTCCGACCCCGCCAGCGCACCATGGCCCAAAAGATTTTGCATGGACTTTGCGCGCACTTTCAGGCGTTCTAAAAGCCAGCTCTGAGCCTTCTAGGCCGCGTTCTGGAGCGAGTTCCGGCCGGAACCGGGGAGAAGGACTTACCCTGTCAACGAAATAGCCAGAGACTATGCTGTAACAAAACACGGTTTGAAAAACCAGATACAAGAGAGAGATTGGAACTTCCGGAAGCATTTTAGGAAGAAGGGCATTCGATTAATCAGGCTTCGTCTTTAATGCAACCGGCATGATGGACATGTACCCTAATTACTTCTACGAGGTCATCTTCTCTGATGAGTCAAAGCGTGAACAGGGTTGTGAGTTTGATGCTTTGCATGAGGAAAGGCACACATGAAATTTTGGCATGTGTCACGCTGGTGAAAAACTTGTGGTGCTAGCCTTGTAGTCGAACTTGGACGAGAGAGCGGCGCAATCGCGTGGACCGAATTGATATTGTCGCTCCTTGGACTTGTGGCCCGGGCTTCTGCGTGAGGGATTTTCGGGATGTCGCCATTTTCACATTTTCGGGCAAAAACATCGTAAGCAACCTTTCAGAAGCCATGGCATCCCTTGTCAAGACACTGGTTGTGGATACTTTGCAGCAATGTCAAGACGCCGTCGCCCAGTTGTTCCAGGAATGTTGACATTGACAGTCCTTTTTTTGTTTATTGTTCAGGGTTTCCTCACAATCCGTTCATTAAACAAATCAGATGAGATCGTGAAACAGGCACGCGACCTAATGTACAAATCGTCACTAGACCCTAAACTTCCTGAGCCCCCAGCCCTTGCACCCACAATCCTTGAACCCCCTCTGCCCTTGCAACCCCAACAAACCCTAAACCCGAATCCGGAACCCGCCTCCCCGGCCTGTGCAGGAAGCTGAGCTTGCCATCGACATCGAAGGAGTTGATTTGAGCCGAGCGGGCGAAGTATGCCTGATCCAAATCTGTGGCGCTTCCAGCGACACCGTGTTTCTGTTCGATATCCACACGTTACAGGAGCTCTTTGAATCTGCAATTTCAGTTCCAAGCATTTTAAGTTCACAGAACCCGAAACCTGTTGTGTTTGCGGGCTTGCAGAAGCTCTTGACGTGAAATGCGACTTGTTAACATGGTTCAACTCGCGAATCGATTGAAGATCCAATGTCCTGTGTTCGCGACAAGGGAAGTTAAGTTATTGTTGGGGGTAAATAGAAACCATAGAAGAGTTTGCAGTTGGGGCACATTAAGCCGAGCTTTATGTTGGACTGTTTCTAAACTTCGGCTTTCATCCGAAGAAACGGGCTCCTGACCGAGAAATGCTTGCTGCTTGTTGCGACACCTCCCCCGAAACCCTAAACCCTTGGATTGGAGAAGCCAAGTGATAGCTTGGGAGGCTTAGTCACGAGTCTTTTAAAGCTTTTGAGGGCGTCTCAGAGACTCTGTGCCTGCAATCTCAATCGGTTGTGGATCCCTCAGAATTTAGAATGTCTCCTTAATCCAGAGTTTTCTGGGATCCCATCCTGGAGGCCCTCGAACCCAGAACCTTGAAGCCTGAACCCCGAAAATTGCGTTGAGGACGAAGCCTTCGGAGAAGGTGGCTTGAAAGAGTTGCTGGAGTCAGATGTGCTGAAGGTGTTCTATGACCTCCGTGCAGACTGCGATGCTTTATACCACTTGCATGCTGTCGACGTGCGGGCTTCCTACGACTTACAGGTCTTGAGGGCATTGAAATTCCAGGACCCGACCGACATGTACCTGCATGGGCTGAAAAGAGTGCTGGCCGAGTTTCTGGGAGAGTCTGGCATCTTGGAAGAGGCCCAGGTTCAAAGGGTGGATGCCCTGAAAGAGCAGGTGCACGAGCTTTTCACCCCGGAGAGGGGTACTGAGATTTGGAGGGACAGGCCTTTAAGCCCGTTGCTGATTGATTATTCCGCTCTGGATGTCCAATTCTTGCTTGGCATGAAGCAACTAGGCGGCTCTGAAGGGGATCATTTCCAGTTTCCCTGATGGCCTGTTCGGGTACCGATTCTTGAGACCCGTAAAAACTCAGGCGCTTCTGGACGCCCGAAGATCCAGCGGCAGCCGTCCAACTCCAGGAGGATGTGATGAGTGCCAGCGACCGGCGCTTGAGAAGGTTTGTGGCCTTGCCGCCAGAAGAAGCATTGAAGCTGGTCTCTGATTTATTGACTGGATGTTTCGCATGTCGGCACGGGGTAGCTTGCGGCTTGCGGATTTCGTTGCCATCTAGACAGGGTGGCTTTCGTGTGGCGACTTCGGTTTGGTTTCTTTGGGTTTCTGTTGAAAAGTCTGTCGGCTTGCGCGAAACGGATCGCCCAGGCACCAGTCCTCCAAGAGAATTCGGGATGTCTACGATGCCAGCGACACCTCGCGCACCGTGCGCGTGCCTGCCGCAAGGATAGGTGCCGTCATTGGCAAGAAGGGAACCAACGTCGAAGCGGTCCGGGCCAGGTCAGGCGCAAAAGCAACCCAGCCGCAAAAACAAGTCTTGCTTTGCCAATTGGTATACCCTGTTGTGGTCACATCTGGCCGGATGAGATTTGCAGCAAAAGGTGCCACCATTGATAAGTAATTGTGTGCTCAACCAACATGATTCTCGGCACAATGCATGCATGCAGTTGTGCGTAATCATGTGTCTTCGCAAGTATGAGCCTGGATGCATAGGTGTGCAGACATGCTAGGTCGGTGCTTTTGAGGGTCGGGGTCTTCAGTTTCCCGCAAAGGCAGGATCTATCGGCATGCATGCATGCATGCATGCATGCATGCATTCCAGACGGTGAGGCAGATGCATACTGCAAACATAGCTAGAGACGTAGTGTTGAAAGTCCTACATGTATCTGGTTCCAAAGTCCTGACTAACGCAGGCTCTCCCCCACACCACGAGAGCGGCGTTGTAGATCGAGTCGCTTGCTTGCGCCCATGGCTCTAAGGTCTGCATCAGGGACGATGTTGCCGTCGTCGTGGGTCAGCCTGCACAGGCTCTGCTGCCCAGTCAAATGCAGAGTAGGCAGCGAGGCGCCCTCCACAATTACAGGAGACCATATCATGGATTAGTCCTGAGGTAGAGGCTGCGGTGCAGCTCATCCTTGCAAAGATTGCGGAGCGTCACGACCGCTAACCTCCTGAGCAAGGATTAGCTCCTGGAGGATGCGAACGCAGCTCGTACCATTAGGGGGAACTACGTGGAGGATGGAGCGACCGCTGAAGGCAGGGACGGAAGGGCAACAACCTTGCAGACCTTACCTACCATTTCTCCCGCGGTATTCCGGAAATCTGAACATGTGCCTTTTTTTCCAGCTCTGCTGCGGCTCAGGCAGCTTTCTCAACCCTCAATCCTTAACTCGACCCGAAACGCTAAACCATCGGCCCCACGTGAAAAGCAGAAAGTCCTATAAGTATCGTTCTAAAGCCTAGAAGCTTGGAGGCCACAGGTAAAGATCCTGCGGGCTGGACGAGTCATGCGCTGGTTGCAGCCTTCCCCGCACTATGTAGGAACTTGTGGAAGAACGAAGCCGGGCTTGAGAATCAAGCGGAGTTTCAAGTGGCGTCTGACCTCAACACGTGGGGGTGTGACACTGTTGGAAGCTCGCCCACCATCGTCCGCGACGCAACTACCCACAAGATCTTTGTCGTGGAGTTCTGAGGGCAGGGGGTGCAACTGCCACCCTGAGAAAACGAGCAGCTTTTTGGAGCCCTGCATCCTGAGGGGCCTTTGAATTCTAGTTTCTAGAGCCTTTGTCAGTACGTTCGCACAACTGTAAGGTCTCCTATGCTTGAACATGACGTCGAGTTTGTTTTTGCAGCGGTGTGAACGGGCTAAGACGTCTCGGCAGTTGAGGTGGCAGCGTAAGAAACCCCGCGTAGCGGGTGGCATCGGTATGGCCGATCGAACGCGGTGTTTTTGTTTCTCACTCCGCAGCTTATCTGCTTTTCAAGCTCGGTTCAACACATCAAACCCAACTGTCAATTCAAGCTTGGGCTGGGCTCCATAAGTCGTGAGCCCATAAAATCACCACACCGAAACTCCCGAAAACCTGCAAGACCCGAAGCCTACCCACAACAGAATCCGCAGCACATGGTCCCAGGAGGCTATAGCGAGCACATAGAGTTTAGTTTTGGTTCCTCGCATGGCTTTGTGTGGCACTCAGTGCACAGTGGGCAAGGGGCCATTGGTTCCTTGAAAGCAGGGGCTCCACTTCTTCTGGCTTATAAAGGGGGATCCTGCTATTTCAGGTTCGTATGTTTCCCTTTGACAGGCATGTTTGCGACCTCTCGCATGTGGGCAAGCTCTCGCTGTGCAAGGAAAGTTGAACCATTTGAGGGAACGGCGCTTCACACCCCGTTCTTGAGTCAGACAGATTGAACAAGATGTTTGGGGCTTTTTTTGTTTTTTTTTTGGTCGGCCGTTCAATCCAGTATTCCACGATGCAGCTGTGCAAATCCTAGCCTGAGTCCGAAACCCAAACCACTATACAACCTAGAACCCATGAGCATCCCTTATATAAGCCTGCTTGATTCCCGAACCATGAACCGTAAAATCCCGACACCTCGCAAACCCCCCATAAAAGACAGAAAGAACTCTATAGAACCCCTATGGAACTTTGCGAGCTGCACCTAAACCCTGGACCGTAAACCCTGAACCCTAAACCCTCAACCTGGAGCCCTGAACCCTCAATCCCTAACGCTTTTCCCTGAACCCGAGAACCCTAGACCCTAAACCCTAAACCCTAGAACTAAGCCAAAAAAAAAAGCACCCTAGACTTATAGACCCGAGCACAGGTTGCAGGGTCAGGGCCCGGTCCCAGCGGCCCCAGTCGAAGCCTTAAAGGGGAACTCTTTAGGGTTCAGGTTGGGGTTTAGGGTTTGGGGTTTCGGGTTTCCGGTGTAGGGTGGAGGTTTTAGGGTTTGGGTTCAGGTTTTGGGGTTTAGGGGTGGAGCTCTTTTGCCTTTATGTCCAAGCATCCCATGATTTTTCGCAGCTCCGCTGGCTCCAGTGGGTTCACCGCAAAGGGGTTTGATGTCGGGTAAAGGGCTCTTTGGGTTTATTCTAGGGTTCAGTTGTCTTGAGTTCATGAGTCTAAGGTGTCTAGGTTGAGGGGTCAAGTTATGTCATGAGAATTGCAGCGCGCCGAAGCAGTACCCTTCTAACAAGCGTCCATCCCGAGCCGCTCCCTTCCCCAGCATCCTAGACTCAAGACTCCGAGGGTCCACGCTGAAGGGGTTCATGGTTCAGGGTTTAGCTTGGGGGTGTAGTCCCCTAAACCCTATGGAGGGTTTGCCACAAGAAACGTGGTCCTTGGCTTGAAGGTAGGGTTGCTTGCGGGTTGCGGGAAGCCGCCTTGAAGCCTTGGACTGTGCTCCTAGGCTCCTTCAGAGCCTGTCACTGCGGTGCATTCGAACCAGAATGGCTTGCGGCTCAGATGAGAAGGGACCTTAGGGTTTAGGGTTTCGGGTTTCCACCGGAATGCAATAGTAGGATGCAGGATCATTTTTGATAAGAGCACCTAGTAAGGGGCCCTCCGACATGAAGAACGCTCGCAAGGGGGCTGTGCAGAAAGCGGCAACTTCAGCATCCCCACCGCTCCAAAAGGACTGCAGTGTTGCGGATCCAGTGTTGCATGAATTTGGCGGGAGGGCTGAAGCTGTGTGGTTCAGGCAGACCGGACATTGCGGCGCACGGGCCTGACCAAAATCGCGATGGCGTCCCTTATGGTGTGCAGGCATCGGGGCTCCGTGACTCGCAACATTTCGTTAGGGACTTATCGCGTTCTCAGGGACAGGGGTCAGAGGGTGCTGCTGCATTCCTGCCTGGTGGTCGGTAAGGGTCGGTGCAAAGTCGAGGTGACCAGAGAAAAGCGTATAGGCACATAAAGTGCTGAGTGCAAGCATCTCTGACAGTGGTCGTACGACAGTCCTGTGTGGTTGCACACCGTGAACCACCCTAACGTCCCAACGTGTGACAGTTCGTAGTTTGAACCTGGCGAAGCCAGGGATGGAGAGAGGGAGAGAGAGGCCTCGGCTTCCGCTCACTGTGGCAACGCCTACGCCGCTGAGGCTTTGCTGCATAGAGAGGTTTGGGGTTTGGGATGGTTTGGGGAGTACGGAGTAGGGATTAGGGATTAATCTAAGGTTTAGGGTCTGAGGGTCAGCTTTATGTACGATCCTCTCTGCACTGAGTTTGGTGAGTTTGGAGAGCGAAGGATGCCGGGCAGAAAAGACCGCTGGTTCAGACGTGGCACGAGGTCACACCGCCTTCCTGCCGATTTTGATGTAGAATCCTCCAACGGTCCCTGCATCCTGCACCCTAAACTTTCCCTCCGACGATCCCAGGGCCCTAAACCCTGCACTCTGAGACAATTTAAGACATCCTCAGACCCTGCAGCCTTGACCCCGGCTTCGCAGTTTTCACCTCAGGCGCATCCGCAGGCAGCTCCGGCAGCGCTGCCGCAAGCTGCGCGCCCGGTCTACCTCGCGCCTCCGCAGGTCACGGGTTACGTGGGTTGGCGGTCGGGGTTTGGAAGTTTGCAGCGTAATGTAGGAACCTGATTAAGAAACCCTGGGCCTATAACCCCATAATAGTAGGATTCATACAAGGAAGTGCTGGGATTTGCTCGATCGAGCTGCTGTGCGTCGTCTTGGCCGTCATTGTACTACTACTTCGTACAGCTGCTGCTGCTACTGCGGCTGTGACTAGTAGTTCCGCTCCTGCTGCTTATAAGAACGAGAGGAGTGAAACCGTTGCGACGCCAAAGTCGAAGAGACCTCGTGCAGGTTATTGCCGCAGGGTGCGGCTCCAAGGTGGAGATGCAGCCTTGTTCGTAGCAGTGGCAGTACGGTGGTGGTCGTGGTGGCAGCAGCAGCAGGAGGAGCAGGAGAAGCAGGAGGAGCTGTCTGAGAGTATGCGCAGTCTTCAAAGAAAGGAACGCCAGATTAAACTTATGCGCTGTGTGGTACTGTTCAGTTTGGCAAAGGTAGCCGTGATGTGAATGCTAATCCGACTAAGCTCATTGAGAAGGTACTTTTTGTGCAGCTACCGTCACTTCTCCTACCTGTGGCATGGCTGTGCTTCCTTCTAGCTAGTATACCCGCGACTGCAGTTGCTGTTGCCACTACTGCGCTTGGATTTTTCCCACCACATTACAAGTCGTACCTGCCCGGCTACCTGTCTGCCCACAACGACGCAGACGGAAGCTGCATCTAGCTATGCAGAGCATGATGGCCATTCAGCCAGTATTGACTCGGGATTGATGCAGTCAACTTCTTAAAAGTTCATCGCGCCGAGCTCTTGGCACTCGGCCGCTTCTTCGGTGGATGGCACAGTGCTGAGTACTGATTCTCTTTCCTGATAATCGAACGTTGAAGCTTCACTCCGTGTGTGACTTGTCGTTTTGAACATTCCCACGCTAGGACTGTTGGGGTTGGAACTCAGTACCTGGAGGATAGGCGTCATTTCTCAGTGAAGGAGGAGAGCCGGCAAGCCTTTATTGGTATGTCTCGTCATCATGACTCATGACAATGCTGATGGTACTGATAACCCAAAAACCAAACCCTAAACCCAAAACCCTAAACCCAAAACCCTAAGCCCTAAGCCCAAAACCCTAAACCCAAAACCCTAAACCCAAAGCCCCAAGCCCTGAAGATGATCATGACCACCATGCTCTGAGGCCGACGTTGCTTCATGTCGGTCAGCCGCAGGCTGGAACAGGAAGCCTATAATGTAGGTTTGCAGGCTTTGAGGGAAGGACTTCAGGGCCGTTACGGTCTAGGGAGTCCAGGGCTTCACGGTTGTTGCGCTTTCGATTTCAAAGAACAACCCCAACAGAAGCATTGCACGATTGCTGGAACTGCTGCTTGTGTTACTTCTGTAACTGCTACTGTTGGCTCCGGGCCACTACGTCTACTACGACGACGCCTGCGACTGCTACTGCTGCTAGTACTACGTTTTAGGGTTTAGGGTTTGGGGTAACCACGCCGTGCCAGGTGGATGTGGTGAAGCCTGTTATTCAGGAAGTGGTGCGTGAGGCCCCCCCCCCCGCCGACGATGCAGAGTTTGGTGTTAGTTTAGGGTAGGTGTTGTAAGGCCCATGGCGCTTCTGTTCGGGTTTACGTTTAGAGGGTGATGGTTTGGGCGGTTAGGGGTTTGGTTTAGGTATCTCCAGGATGCTTTATCATCCTCCAGCTTTGGTCTCCTGCGATCGAGACTCTGAGTTCCGGGAGTTGTGCGCTTGTCTCTCCAGCGACTCCGCGTCCGAGGTACCGGTGCACCAGCGAGAGTTGCACACCATCTTCCGTGAGAGGCCGCAGGCCAGTCGGCTGGTGGGGAGGCTTCAGGACCTATGGCGTGGAGTACAGAACATATACATAGTTACAGCCTAAAACACAAAACTCTGTTCGAAATATCAAGGCTCTGTACCAGGGCAAGCGCTGGTATCTCGTGATAGCCCGAGAGCAATGGCCAGTTCTCCGGTTCCCTGGGCCCTGTTAATCAAAATGAGCCCTGCAGACCCCCATAAGCCTTGTAAGTTCTATGTGCCTTATACGCTCCATACTATACGCCCTATACCCTGCACGCCCTGTCATCAGACCTTTGCGCCTTATAAGCCTTACGAGCCTTATAAGACCTGTACGACCTATACGACTTATAAGCCCGATAAGCCCGAGAACCCGAAAAGAAAGCCCCCCACGTGCCCGGGCCTACGGGAGCAGGTGGAGTTCGTGGAGAAGGCCGTGGAGGTGCCGAAGGTGGAGGTGCAGGAGCTTGTCTGGGTTTGGGAGTCGTAGGATTATGGGGTTCTGGTACAGGGTTTTGAGTTGAGGGTTTATGGGTTCAAGGTCAGGCGGAAATTATAGGACTAGAGGGTTTCCGGAGTATCGGTTTCTAGGTTTAAGGAGGATGCCAGAATGGGGAGATTTCGGGGACTAGAGTTACCTCCAAGGTGCCGAAGGCTCGAGGTGTCGGGGCGGATGACGGGTTTAGGGGTCAAGGAGTTCCAAGGCCGTGGGGAAGTTGTCCAGAGGATGTTCATGGGTTGCAGCATAAGCTTGTAAGACTATGCTGTGACTCAACGCATAGCTAGGATGCACGGTGCTACACGCGATTCCTTCTTGCATCTCATTTGCAGTTAGGAGGGTTAGGAGACAACCCACGATGTAGACCTGAAGTAAGCGTAGGTGTAGACTGTAGAAGACTAACAGAGGGGCCTAAATGTATCATGGGCCCCGAAACCCCGTTCTAATTGTGAAGGCCCCCATGCTATGCAAGCTGGAAGCTCCTCAGCTGCCCAGGAGCGGGTCATGGAAGTTCCCCAGATCTTGCTTCACGAGAGCCTCGGCTGAAGGGTTTTTGGTTCGACAAAGGAAGGTCGGGCCATGCTGGGCAGCTGAGTGGTTTCTCATGAGGGAAATGAGTTTAACGAGGAAGCGCCCCATTGGAACTTAAGCTAAGTTCCTGGATTCCTTTAAAGAACCCACGTCAGTGCCCGTTTGTTCGTGCTGTTTGCAGGTGAAATTCCGATCTTCGACTCCTTTCCGGTCCCATATTCTTGCTTTACAGCCTGGGCCAAAGCCCTAAACCCCAAACCCCTTCTTCTGTGCAAATCCTATGGGGCAGTGCCCGGCACTTTGGGATGCTGGAGTTAGAGGTGCATTGCATATGAAAAACCTTCACCCCGAAAGCCTAAACCCTAAAGCCTGAAGCCCAAACCCAAGCCTAAACCCCTAACACTGCAGCTTCAGCCCTAAAGCCTTAGGCCTAAACCCGAAAGGGGATTGCACTTTTGAAGCAAAGCACCCTTAAACAACAGAAACAGAAACCGAATCCCTAAACCCCAAAGCCTCAGCCCCATGAGGTCTGAAGCCTCCATTTTCGGGTTTAGGGTTTAGGCGGTTTAGGCGGTTTAGGGTTTAGGGTCTAGGGTTTCGGGTTTAGGGTTTAGTGTTTCGGGTTTAGGGTTTAGGGTCTAGAGTTCAGGTTTTAGGGTTCAGGGGCCCGAAGTATCCATCCTCGCTCCGTAATGATTCTGAGGAAGGTTATGGAGGTGCCGCAGATCACGGAGGATGAGATCGCCTCCTGGCTGCGTGTTGAGCTTCACTTCAAAGGGGTCCGAGGATTCTGCTTCCACGTTCATGGGCTGCAGGATGAGCCTGAGTAGATTTAGAATCTTGTGGGATGATGCCCGGCTACTGTGGAAGCATAGATATGTACCAATAGTTGTCCTTTGGGCTTTTCAGTGTAATTTCACTATCCACAAAACCCGAGTCAGATCATGGAGGCGCCTGCATTACTTGGCATCCGTCCGAGAGTCTTTACCCGATTGTGGTCTTTCGCCTTTATTTCATGCATGCTAGTGCCGCGAATGCATTCTGGAGTATTCTAGTTTTGCTCTGATATTCCGTTCTTGTTATGTCTTATACCCCGCAGCGAGGGATTTCCTCCCGTGGTAACATGTTATCTTGGCCCTTGCCTGTGATCTCTCAGCCTCGACCGCACCAATGCAGCATGCCGATCTTGGAAAGCAGTTTTTCATTTTGCCACGCAGTTCTCAGACGTTCAGTGCCTCACATGTTGCATTTTCAAGTACACTGTTCTCTCAAAACGCTTTCTGCATTCTATGTCCTTTCGGCTAGGTCCTTGGGCTCAGAGGCTTCGCATGCTGAACAGGCTTGGTAAGTCTAGTCGAGTAGATAGATCACCGGGAGTTTGCGCTTTCCGGTCTAGAGTTTGCGAAACTTCATGCTGCCGCGACTAGTAGCGATGGTGTCGCAACAACCAATCCGCTATGCGAAGATGACTGTACATAAGGCAAGCACCATTGTCATAAACCTCAACGTGAAGCAGGTCCCTCGTGCAGAATACCCGGATGTCAACAACATCTTAAACCCTAAACCGTGGCTCCGCAAGGTGAAGCAGGTCCCTCGTGTAGAGTACACGGACGTCAACAAGCACATCGAGCTGCCCGTCTTCGAAGCGCACGAGCGCATCGTGGAGATCCCCTTCGTCATCGAGCAGGTCCTGGCCTTGACAATCGAAACCTGGGGTCCGATACTGTTCCTAACTTAATATGTAATCGACGATAGATAAAAGATAGTCGGTAATCGAGAATAGATAATGGATATTGGATAACAGATAATGCATACTATATACGTTACAATATGTGATATATACATATATATATATAATAATAATATGCAATATATAAGACATGGATATTGTACCGCGAATGCCACAGGAATAGGCTTCCTCTTGGATTTGCTGCAAGCATGTTGTGCTTTTTGCGTTTAGGAGTTGGAACCGCTTAAAGCTCGAGTTTTGGACTCGCTAGTAGCGCTTGCGGTCTGGTGAGGCCCCTCGGCGGGAAGTAGTAGATTGAGAGTAGCACATACCGAAAGTACAGCACGTATCACACGAAGCACAGTTTAATATAGAATAAAGAATCTACTCTAGCAACCCGTCGTGTGACATGACATGACCTGAAACGATAGGTGATGACATGACCTGCTATGATATGATATATCATGGCATGAAAGGATATGTGATGATGTGCTTTGGCATTTCACACGACGGGTTACTTCAGTAGATCTTCAATCCTGTGTTAAGCCCTGTTTCGTGTGACAGGCGTGGTGCTTTCGGTATGCTCGCCTGTGTTTCGATCTACTGCGGCCCGCTTAAGAGCCTCAGAGTGTATCTTCAAAAACAGAGCGTCATCCAATAGATAATAGATAATAGATACTCGAAGGGCAACAACACTGTTTCAAGGTTGGAGCTTGGGGGTTTCTGTAGTTGGAAAGGTTTGCTACAAGGCGTTGTGCATGGCGAAGATGGGCAGTACAGCCAAAGTTAGGTTTAGCGTTGCAAGTCCTGCAATCTGTTGTTGCACTGGGCAACAGTTGCCTACTAGTAGCACCAATACATGAGGAAGTTGTGTTGTCGCTCGTGGTGTAAGCTGTGGTAATGGTTCTAGAGACTCATATTCCTATCTTTGCTGCTCATGTCGCTGCTGTTGGTTCTGCTTCTTCTCCGTAGTATCACTGCTTTTTGTACTTGTACCACTACCGCTCACTACTCGTACCACGACTACTGCGACGACGACGACGACTACTACTACTGCTACTACTACTACTACTACTACTACTACTACTACTACTACTACTATTACTACTACTGGTACTACTACTATTACTACTACTGCTCCCACTGCAACTGCAACTGCTGCTGCCACTCCTCCTTCTCCTGCTGCTACTACCGCTGCTGCTACTTCTGGTGTTGTTCGCAGGAATGTCTCGTGGAAGTGCCGCAAGTGCACTGCATCGAGCTGATTCGGGAAGTGCCGAAGGAGGCAACGAGAACAGAGATGCTAACACATCCCAAAAGCAAGGTCCATGTGACAGTAATGCGTCGTTGTCAGTCAATAACTGCTGCAAGTCAGTCGCGCCGCTGGAAGCATCATCCGTGGCCCATACTCGAAGGTGGTGAAGACGGTGCAGAAGATGGTCGAGCGTCCAGTGGTTCAGGCAGTTGGCTCGTTGCGGAGCAGAGTAGCAGCACGTGTAATCCAGATGGTCATCATTGGACTGACTTGCATGACTGACTAGCAACATGATCATGCGACCCCGGCATTATCCGGCGTTGGTCACATCAGTGGTAGCATCATTCCAAGAAAGGTCCGGGAGCAGCACGTCGACGTGCCCGTGGTCACCATTCAGGAAGAGCTCCTCCCTGTCCCCGTTGTGGAGGAGGCTAGCTTCTGCTAGCTTCTGCTACTGTTGCTGCGTTGCTGCTACTTCTACTACGACGACGATTTCGAAATTGGCAGAAGTGTTAGTGGTCGTAGGGAAGATGAAGCAGCAGGAGCAGTGGTAGCAGCGGTAGTGGTACTGGCATGTCTCGGTACTGGCAGTGACTGCGGTCATGGTTGTGGGAGTAGTAGTGGTAGTGGTGGTGGTGGTAGTAGTAGTAGAAGAAGTAGCCAAGGAAGAAGCCCTGAGGACCTGAACCCTAAACCCTAAGCCCCGGACCCTCAGCACTCAACAGCATCAAGGCTTGACTGCAGGCTCTGGGTTTATAGGGAGCTACATGGGGGTTTCCCAAAATTGGGGGTACCTCATTTTGGGGTCCTTTTAATGATGATCCTACCATTTAGGTACTACATTAGGGTCCCCTTTTTGCGAAAATGCCCATAGTATGAACAGCCGGCGCGGGACTCTTTGCCAGGTTGAGGTCATCACACAGGTGCCAAGCTACGAGCTGCAGCAGGCACCCGGGGGTCGGATGATCGGTCATGACATATGGGAGTTTCCGAAATTAGGCGGGGTACCTTATTTTGGGGCCCTTATAATAAGGATCCTACCATTTAGGGTTTTTTTAGGGCCCCCTATTTTCGGAAACTCCCATATGGGAGTGTCTTGAATTCAGATCCATTTTGAGTGTCCTTAGCATACAGATTCCACTTGCCAGGGTCTAGAGTCTAGATAGACTAGATCTCTGAATATTTCTGACGCTCCTGAGTAACAGATGACAAGGTGCAGGTGATGACCAAAGACAGTCTACGATGGGATCATCATCTACGACAATTTACGATGACATCCCAGTGTACAGACTATGCGCACAAGATCCGCATAGGTGCGTAATGTGCTAGAAACTGTATGTGTGGTTGTGCGCCCGCATTCCACACGTTTGTGAAATATATCTTGCCTCTCTGTAGACGCAAAGGTATGACAGTGCGTGTGGAGGTATATGCGTGTGTATGTATTCGTACATGTGTTTTTGTATGCATGTATGTACCGATGTATGCATGTATGCATATACTTATGTGTGAGTGAACGAATGAATGAAGTAATGGATGAATGAGCGGCTGACTGACTGACTGACTGACTGACTGACTGACCTGGCCTGGCCTGACCTGACCTGACCTGACCTGACTGACTGACTGCCTGGCTGACTGGCTGACTGACTGACTGTCTGACTGACTGACCGACGGGCTGACTGACTGACTGACTGACTGACTGACTGACTGACTGACTGAATGAAATGACATGAAATAACGTATGATATTCGCCAGGGATGCAAAATACGAAGAGTACGCGTGGCAATAAGTATGAAGACACAGCGATGTTCAGTTCTACCCACCACGACAGACGAGAACTCGGTACTGTCAGGATATTTTGTTCTGGACCCTAGTGCATGCCAGAGTCACCTATCAAATCTTGATATTCATGTGCACGACTGAAAAGGACCCCACTGGCTCCGTTAGTGTGATGGCTGTATTGTTGTTACAGCAACTCAACTCACAGACAATAGTATATATTCGGGACGAGCAGTATGTAGAATGGCTTAGCGTATAACATCGCTTACTGCTGGGATACTTCTTGTAAAGTCCCCTTGTGGTGAACGGTGTTTATGGCAGATACTATTACGAGTATGGGGCATTGGGCTCAATGTCCGTGATTGCTAGATCCCTATCCCTGAAGCCTAGCCCCAAACCCTCAAACCTCATGGCGGCCAAGCCAGTGAACTCTGAACCCTAAACCCTACGCCGTCGCTCGCTGTGCAGGTGGAGAAGAGGGTGGAGCTTCCGGTGGTGGAACTGCAGGAGCCCTTCTGCTAGGTTTCCGTTTTTTTGCGGGTTATCTAGATAAAGTAATAATAGTAATAATTGTAATTATAGTAATAATAGTAAGAATAGTAGTTTAGGGTTCAGGGTCCAGAGGCCGTGTTTGAGCCGTAGGATTTTTGGCCTACGGCCGGCACCTTTGCACACCTTGTGAATGAGGTTCATGATTCAGAATTCTTAATGACTTGCGGCAGTTGACTCAAGAACACGTTGCATCTTCTCTGCAGGAGGGCCCTGCAAGGCAGTAGGGCCGAACTTTTCGACCCTGTAAAAAGAGGGCCCACATGGCTCTGCTAGGGAAGCCCTAAACCCTAGAATCCTGAACCCTAAAGCCTGAAAAAGACATAAACCCTACAACCCAATCTCTGAGATGAGGAAGCCGCGCTTCCAGGGTTTTGGGTTTTGGGGTCTTGGGCCCCAGGGCTCAAATTATTATTTTTTTGGGTATTAGAGTTTTAGGGCTTTCAGAACCTGAGAAGATAAGTAAGGGACACGCCTTCGACTGTAGTGGGCTTCTTTTTGCGACTTAAGGTAGACTTCCTGGATTCGTGGGTATCGAGGTTTGCGGGAAGTTGCTGATTCTTCCAACAACCTCTTGGCTATGGTACAATAAATATAGTACAGGGTAGTAGAGTATGGTACAGCATAGTGTAGTATGGTACAGCATAGTGTAGTATGGTACAGCATAGTATGGTAAGACCCCAAACATAAACTACGCCCTAAACCCTAAACCCAATGGTATATCATACCATACAATGCCACATGAGTGCTTTCTGCTTCGGGTTTCTCTTGGAGCGAGGAGAAGATCGTGGAAGTGCCGCAGGCCGAGGTTATCGAGAACCCGGTGGCTGGCCTCAGCTTGACATATCATGTGTCTCATATTCTTGTATGTACATACATATATAAATAAACAACACATACATACATACATACATACATACATACATACATATATATACATATGTATATATATATATATATATATATACACATGATATATATATATATATATATCATGTATATATATATGATATATATATATGATATATATATATATATATATATGTATATATATATATATATATATATATATATATATATATCATATATATATATATATATATATCATATATATATATATATATATATATATATATACATATACATATATATATATATACACACATATATATATATATATATATATATATGTGGAGGCTCCAAAGTTAGTATCATATGCTATTCTGGGGTATCAGACTATGATGTAGTATATGATTATAGACTTGTCCCCGTAAACCCTCCCTGTAGAAGCGAACGAACCGAGACGGCAGAGGGAAGTTGCGAGTTTCAGGGTTTTCGAGGGTAGTTTCAGTGTTGAGTTTCGGGGCGGAGTTTCGGGGCAGAGGCCAGGTCAGTTTCGGATCCAGAGGAGTTCAGTTTCAGATCAGGGCACAGCCAGTTTCTAGTACGCGTAGCAACTGCGCCCCGAAACTGACCACCTCGCGCCCCGAAACTGACCTTCCCCGGTCCCGAAACTGGGCCCTGAAACTCACCCCCGTGATCCGAACCTCACCGGCAGAGCCGATCCAAAAATAACCCCCCGAAACTATGGGCACCCGAGGGCAGAGGGCAGGCAGTCGGGTGGGATGACTTCCTGGTGATTTCCAGGTGGAGGTCCCGGACATTGAGATCTGTGAGATCATCAAGCAGGCGCGGTGGTGGCGTGTTGGCGCGTTCCGTCGATTTCGCTGTTTGTCAGGTTCCGAAGTATGAGATCCACTACATCGACAAAGAGGTCATCAAGCACCAGATCGAGTACGTGGAGAAGCTCGTGGAGGTTTCGGCGGGGAGAATTCGCCTTTTACTTCTCGGCAGCTGCCAGAGCCAGTGGAGATGATGGCAGATGCTCCAGGTTCCGCATGTGGTGTACGAAGAGAGGATCATCGAGGTACCACAGGCTTGGCATCTGCGAGCTTTCTCGTTTTTCCACCCGAAACTCGTTGATTGTGGGCATGAGGTGGAAAGGCGGGAGCTCATCCGCCATGTGCCGGTGAGCAACGCCGAAGCCTCGGCCGGACGGAGCCGCCACTGTCGCTGCCACGCAGTTGCATCTTCTTTTTCAGGTGCAGCTGGTGGACAAGAAGGACGGCCCAGCATGATGCGGCGTCCGTACCTATACCCTGTGAGTGCCGGAGCAGCCCTGAACAGGTTCCAAAGCACACGCTCCAAGTCACGGAGAAGGTGGTGGAAGTGCCGACTGCCGGGTTCACAGCACCAAAGTGTGCCTTCAGGTGAGCTGCAGTTCTGACCCTGGGCTCCCAGGTCCTGCACCAGGAAAGGGCCGTGGAAGTACCGGAGGTGGCGGTCGTGGAGACCATCACAGAGGCTGCCGGGTTGAATTGGGACCATCTGTCTGCGAGACTCGGATCTCAGGTGCCCAAAATTCTCGTCAACTCCGTCCCGGTGGAGGTGCCCAAGGCAGGTGCTTTGAGCGACGCTTCTTGCGACCTTGTCCGGGCTTGCATCACGGGTCTCCCGCAGGTTGTCAATGTCCAAATCCAGGAACGACTGGAAGAGGCGCATGCCCCGGAGGAGTTGGACCAAATCGTTTTGCTACTATTATTATTGTTGCTATCATTACTATTATTCTTACTACTATTCTTATTGTTGTTATTCTCTTCTTATTGAGATTGTAATTGCTATTCTTACTCTTATTGCTGACAAAGCTGGGAAGCCCTAAAGCCGCCTGCTCTCGAAGTAGCTCCTAAGGTCCGAACGACTCTCATTGCCGAGCGGGCCGTGGAGGCCCGGAACATCACGGCTTCAGTCTATCTTGGGGTTTAGGGGTTTAGGGTTTAGGGGTTTAGGGGGTTTAGGGTTTAAGGGCTTAGGGTTTAGGGGCTTAGGTGTTTAGGGTTTAGGTTTTTGGGGGTTTAGGGTTTAGGAAACCTGTCTGAAGCCACCCCAAAACACCATAACTGCCTGACAAATCCTACCTGGTACCCTTTCTGAAACCTTGCAAAAGCCCCTCAAAGCCTAAACCTCAAAACCCCCAGCCGTAAAACCTAAGCCCCAAAACCCCGACGACCGCAGGTGCCGGACCCCCAGGTCGTGGAGGCCGTGACCCAGGCAAAAGCCCGGAGGGAGGGATCCTCGGAATCCAAGTCGCTTCGGATTGTTTAGGGTTTAGGGTTTAGGGTTTTAGGGTTTAGGGTTTTAGGGTTTAGGGTTTAGGGTTTTCGAGTTTCGGGTACAGAGTCTATAGAGGTTCAGGGCTTTGAGTTTAGGGTTCAGGGTCTGGTTTCGGTTCGGTCTGGGCCTTAGAGGGTTGCAAAGGGTTGTCCCAGTAGGGCCTAGGGTGTTGAGGCGTTATGGGATGTTGCTGGGTGTCCGGGCTTTCGGGTTACTTTAGGGGTTCAGGATTATTGTGCCTAAGTGTTTGGGCTTCTGAGATGTAAGCTGAAGCCTAGGTCTCGTATTCGGGTTGTGGAATCTAGTTGCTGGATCTCCCTCCAATATCAGCCCTATGAAATGGGCAGTTAAGGGGGATGTTGAAGTTGCTAGAATAGCCATCTTAATAAGTAATAAGGTTATGCAGTAAACACAGTGCTTTTTTGTTTCTGGTCGTAAAGAAGTTCCTGAACAAGAACTCAGAATCCCAGACTTCCCGGAGGTTGTTCAGCCGGTCGTTCAGTACGTGGACAAGGCACTTCGCCCCTTTCGGACTCGGTTGGGGAACATTTTCAATCGGGGAGGTTGCTTCCATGGACCTTCGGTCCTTCAATAGGACATCCACACCAAACCCACGACCTGGAGGTTTCGGTTCAGGACCCGGGTTTTTTTGGTACTGGTAAGGCTTCGCGGCTTACTTTCAGCAATTGCGGGACCAGGGCTGCGTCGCTGATCCCGTAGCTTGATTTCTTGTTTTTTGAAGGCAGTGACCTGCCGTGCCGATCGACGTGGCTCGATTTTACGGTTGGTGTTGCGGGAGCAAGCTTCGGTCCAAGTTCCGGGCCCAACATGTGCGGGGAAGCCCAGCCGAAACCCTTTGCGGCCACGGCCAAGGATTTCGAAGCCTGGAGGGCTTCCGGGGCTGCTTGGGAGTTCCGTTCTGGGGCTCCATAGAGGGTCCGACATAGCAAGGCTACAATAGCGCTGCACACTGTTTTCTGAAGCTCTTAGCTGTTGCGGCCTTCACCTTGAAACCCTCAGCGAAGCCGGGAGGAAGTGCCCCGCGTGGTCACGGAGCCCGTGGAAAGGCTGCAGGAAGTGTGGCAGAGGCGTCGGAGCCAATTTCCTTGCCCGGAAGTTTGAAGCCGCTTTAATTAGAGACCTCAAACCCCGAAACCCTGCACCCTAAGCCCTAAGTTCTAAACCCTAAACCGTGCACTTTAAAAAACAAAAAACCCTAAACCCTAAACCCTAAACCTTGAACCCTTAAACTCTAAATCCTAAGACCCGAGAGGCCGCTCGTGGAGGAGGTCGCGGTGCCGGTGCCGCAGCTCCTGACCTACGAGGTCTACCCTTGTGGGGGTGCATCTGGGTTTCCTCTGAACCCTAAAGGTTTAGGGTGGATTCTGCTAACCTTAACTGCAAGGCGGAAAAAGGTGCTCAAAAAAAACCTAAACGTTTGGGGTTAGGGTTTAGGGTTTACTTGTAGGACCTAAAGCTCTGAACCCTAAACCGCGAGCCCTAGAACCCTACAACTCGGAACCCGGAACCCTGTAACTCTGGATCCTAAGCCTGCAACCCTCAAAAGGCTTGGTTCAAGAGCTGTGGGGTTTCCCGTCCTAGTTCCAATCCAAACAGATGGGCTTACACCCTAATCCCTAAACCCCCAACCCTAATCCCTAAGCCCCAAAACCTACCCTAAAAAAGGTGTAAATCCTAAACCCCAAAGCCTACACCAGGCACGTCCTTCCCAGAACTTCCCGAAGTTTTCGGAGGCGGTCCGGCAGGAGGCTTCCGAGGTCGTCCATGAGGCGATGAAGCCCGTCCCCAAGGCGCGAACCCAGGGAGGGGGGAGGGGGGGAGCCCTAAACCCTAAACGCTAAGCCCTAAACTTTAACCCTAAACGCTGAATCCTACACCCTTACAAAACAATCCTACACCCTAGACCCGAAACTCTAGACCCTGAAGCCCAAGCCGTTTCACGGTTTCCGGGGTCTTGGGGCCTAGGGGTTTGGCGACTCGCTGGTTTTGGGGTGGGGGGTGCCTTGGAGCTCCAGGGTTTCTGTCTTAACGTGTCCTTACTGCCTTTGAGGTTGCATTCCATGGCGAATTTAGGGTTTGGGAGTTTGGGGGTTTAGGGGTTCAGGGCGTAGACCAGAGCACAGTCGGCGCCGCGATTCCTGGCATATGCCTAGTCCAGGTGTAGAAGGGGTTTAGGGGTTCAGGGGTTTAGCGGAGCTGCCCATCCTTGCATTGGTCTTCATATTGCCCATGGCTGGGCAGCAGCTTCTCATGGTCCGAGAAGTGAGTCGAAGTGAGCGCGTCAGAACTAGAGAACATCGGTTTCGAGTTTCAGGCTCTACTTGTCAGTCCCCAAGAAACCTAAACTCTCAACCCCCACAGCCCTGAACCCTCTACCCCAAAGCCCTTCTAACACTCCTTTGATAAGCTTCTAATATAGGGGCGGTCATGAGATTTTGGTGGTTCCGTATTCTAACTATACTAAACGGGCCCCCCTATTCTACTTTATTAAGGCCCCTCTATTGAGCTCGAAACCTTCGAGCAATCCGTCTCGTTCGCGGCCTTGCTCCGATGCTTCGGACGCTGCTGCCGCTCTCCGCTCGCGCCTGCCGGGCGCTCCCTGGAGGGCGAGGCCGGGTTCGGACGTGCACATAGTTCAGGAAAACCACGGTTTAGGGTTCAAGGTTTGGGTTTTAGGGTTTGGGGTTTGGGGTTTAAGGTTAAGGGTTTAGGATTCAGGGTTGAGGGTTTAGGGTTGTTTAGGGTTTGGGGTCATGGTGCGATCTCCTACAAGCGGCACTTCTTGTCGCCAGGCCCGGCGTTGCCATGTTCTCGCCTGACTCCGGCGGCGCGCCTGATTCGCCCGATGTCGACACCAGCAACCACTGGTGCGTCGGCAGCGCTCTGACTGATTTTGGAGTTCAGGATTCACGGCGGCTTATGGGTAATATGGGTAGCTCGGAGCAAAGGAAGCAGATGCCAGCACGAGATCAGAACCAGGTTACGTAAATTCTTGAATCGTTGGCCTTGCACGCAGCTTGGGTTCTCTTGGAAGGCGCAGGCTGTAGCAGATGCTTCAGGGTCTTGCTTGTGCTCGGATGGGTTATTGGTGCGGCACGCAGTCAGGTCGAATCACAAGACGATGGTGAAGCCTCTGTTGACATCCACCGCAAGAGGCACTTCCGAATCTGCAGAGTGCTTCTGGAGAATCAATGCTGATGCAAAAAGAACTAGGTGGCATTTTGGGAATCTTTTTAGTTTCCCTTTATGGTTCCTGTAGAGGCGCCTATTCATAAATACTTTTCAGAGCCCCAAAACTACAACCCAGAGAAGCATAAAGAAGCCACGCCCTGCCGCCTCGACACATGGGTGGTTGTCAAAATGAGGGTCCCTTTTTGGGTCCATATTATAATACGGCACCTAATATTTAGGGTACCTCAAAAGGGACCATAATTTTGACAACCACCCACATCGAGCTTGAGTCCGAGCGCCCCAAGCCCCAACACCGACACAGGCCGGTCCCGCCCCTTAGCTTCGAGAAGGAGACCCTGATTTTCCAGTCCGACGTGGACATGCAGGAGGTCGGGTTTAGGGGTTTAGGGTTTAGGGGTTTAGGGTTGGGTTTCTGGGGTTTAGGGTCTAGGCGCGCTATAGATACATACGGCACAGTACCCAGCATACAGGATGCTACATGTCGAGTGTTTTGGGGGCAACTCCCCCAAGCTCCCTTGAGCAGATTGATTCAGTCCATGGTCTTTTGGTCGAGTTTGTTCACGGAAATCTAGGGTCTGAGAGTGTTTCGCGGGCATATGTGGGCATAGTGGGTGTCCCGATTTTTCCGAACCTGTTGATGTGCACAAATCTGTCAGGGCTTCAGAGAGGGTACACGGGGCTTGTCCAGGGCCTGTGGCGATTATGAAGTGGACTTTTGCCCGGATTGTCTTGCTTTGCCCAGGGTAAGCCAACATGCGTGCTAGGAATATTGCTATTTTACTAGCTTCGTTGCGTGCAGATGGAGAGTTTGCGGAGAAGATGACTGCCGTGAAGCATTTCTGCAGAGCCTGATTTTCGCAGCACGCGTGCACTTGTCGTGATAGTCTGACGTGACGGACGTCGCCTCTTCCGTTTCGCGGCTGGATTTCGAAGCGGGCGATATTGTGCGACCTCTGCAGGGATTTGCCAAGTATGTCTTTCGCATTCGTGCAGCTTCCCAGGCGCCCAAAACCCAAAGAAGACACTTAACTGCCTTAAACCCTAAAAGGAGTGAGAGGTTCCCATTCTGACTGCCCTCATACGATGGCCTGAGGAGGTTGTTCGTTGCAACATTCGTCTTCGCTAGAATAATGCTGCCGTTGTTGATGATTGTTCTTCTTGGACTCCGCTTCTTTCTGTCGCTATATGTCGCTATGTTGAGCAGCATCATCATCATTGCGTTCATATGATCACGAGTACCAATGTAAACAGCATCAATATTATGTTGGCCATAGCCACCTTCAGCGTCAGCATCGCCCTCGAAACGATTATATATCACCATCATTGCCATCATCCCCGCAAGACTCCTCCTGGTCCTGACCATCATCATCATCATCATCATCATCAGCACCACGAACAGAAATAATTTGGTGCAGCTGTCGAGTGCTCCTTAAAGGAAGAGTATCGGTGTCGGTTTACTTGCACGTTTTTACGATGGTATCGGAATGTCCGAAGCCTGTTGTGATGCCTAAACCCCTAAAACCCCCAATCGTCAGAAGACTCCATGTGGCTCTTGCAGGTCGTCGCGGCATCCCGCTGCACCTCGGCTTCGAATGGCAGAGACCCCTAGGCTCAGGTTCCTTAGGGTCCAGGTAGGGCTTAGGGCTTGGGAGCCTACAGCCTTGGGCTCTTGGCCGTCAGAGTCTTCCTGGATGCTGCAAGCTCTGAGGCCCAAAGACACCAGCAGCCTTGCCTGCAACCAAACCCGCCACAAGAATTCCGAAGCCATAAGCCTTAAATCCGGAGCTCCACATTTCTCCTACGTAACCCTTAAACTGGGCCCGAAAGGAGAGCGGAAGGAAACCTCCGAAGCCCCGAACTCCCAACTTCCTTGCCTAAACCCTAAACCCTAAACCCTAAACCCTAATCCCTAAACCCTACACCTTAATCCCTAAACCCTACACCTTAATCCCTAAACCCTAAACCTTAATCCCTAAACCCTAATCCCTAAACCCTAAACCTTAATCCCTAAACCCTAAACCCTAATCCCTAAACCCTTAATCCCTAAACCCTAATACCTAAACCCTAAACCTTAATCCTTAAACCTTAATCCCTAAACCCCAAAGGAAAAGAGCCGAATGTCCCGAGCTCTGAACGCCTTTCCTCGAGCGCCCAGGGAAGTGCATGCTGGGCGGAGGGCTCGGCTCCTCGGACGGTTGGGAGCACTGCGCTTGAGGGTTTTCTTAGGGGTGCTTAGAAATATTTTTTTAAATTTTTGGTTATTATAATCCCTAAGACTTTTTTTGGTTATTATAATCCCTAAGAAGCAGCTAAAATTTTAAGTTTTGCTAGGGTTCTAAGTTCAGTATAGTTTTGTTGGGATTTTGTGCTTGAGAGCATGGTCGCTACCCAGACCCCCGGGAGGACCTAGAAAGTAGATCCCCTAATTTGGGGCCCTATACTACTAAGATTACTTTATAGGAAGCCCCATTAAGGGATCTACTTTTTGGATCCTCCCGGGGGTCTGGGTAAATAAAATGCTGGAAGCAGCTGAGTAGAGTTTATAATGTAGACTTCGAAAAGTGCAAAGAATAGGGATCTGCTGCTGCTGCTGGTGATGCTGCTTGCGCGGCTCCTCCTCCTCCTGCTCCTCCTCCTCCTCCTCCTCCTCCTCCTCCCGCTGCTGTTGCTTCTGCTGCTCGCTGTACTGCTAGCTGCTCGTAGTGACGAGGCAGGCTTCCCTCTTTCCGGGTTCAATATTAAATTAGCGCTTCGGAAACTCTCCTAACCCCTCATTCCCTGTCTCCCTCCTTCGTTGTTTCGCATTCCTAGCGCATGTCTTGTGTCGAAGATCCCCAGCTCAACAGCGAACGGCGGCGACTGAAAGCTTGGGAAGCCCCGTGTTGGCTGTTGGAACCAGCCTCACGACACCCGTAGCTTGTAGTCCTGAAGTAGCAAGCCCCATCTCTGATAACAGCAGTTCGAAACCACATTTTCCTTCTTGTTCAACCCTAAGCCCGAATGTAGGAACCTGCCTCAGAAGGCCTCGGTTTGTTTTAGGGTTCTTAGCCCGAGTCTGATCAGCTTGGGGAGCACGTTAACCAATTCTAAATCCTTTAACTTGGCTCGAAACAACCCTAAACTTTTGGAGCGTACCGTGCTGTGAACGATGAACCTTAAACCCCAAACCCTGAATGCGGATTCTGCCGACCTTAACTGCTAGGCGGTGAATGCGAACCCCAGGCATCACGGGCTTCTACGCGCTGATAGCCTCGCTGAGCCTCCACGGCAGCCTACCCCTGGAGCTGGCGATGGTCTTCTGTGCCGGGCTCTGTGCGCTACTCCTCCCAAGATGGACGGGCTTGAACAGTGAAGTCTAAATCCCTGAACTCCTGGGTTTTGGGTTCAGGGATTTGGCAGGTTGGGTAGCATCGCAGGAATGTGATCATCGGTTTCTAGAACTTGTGTTATTGTTCTTTTGGCATTGTGATTGCCCTTTCCTTTTTTGCAGTTCTTACTTTCTCGACCTCCTGCTGTCTGACACTACAGGTGACTGTTCTTACTATGTTTCTGCTCGTTGCACTTGTGGTCGTCTTGAAGGCCGCTCTTATTTGTCGTCGTCGTCGTCGCTGCTGCTGTTGACAACCATTACTACTGTTATTGTTGGTTTTGTACGTATCGCAATCAGCGTTATTGTCATGATTGTTGTCTTCTTCTGCTCAGTGTTTCTCATGCAAGGAATGCCTATGCGCATTTCATCACGGCCCAGAAGCTCATACGCAAGCTGGCAGCCAGACATGTGGATCAGCTCTCGGTGATGCCGCTGGAAGCGAAAGAGAATTTGCAGGACATACCGCATCGACCGCTGGAGACAAGTATTCAATTACATACAGCTTTATGTAGGTACCTGTTTATGCACATATATATGTATGTATGTATGTACGTATGTATGTAGGTATGTGTGTATGTATGGTGTGTGTATGTATGATATATGTATGTATGATATATGTATGTATGTATGTATGTATGTGTGTATGTACATGTATGTATGTATGCAGACACGTGTTTGATAGGGGTGAACCCTCTCTCTCTTTGTTTCTGGATCTCTCTCTCTCTCTCTCACACACACACCCTGCACGATGTGATGTATCTTTGTGTCGTTGTACCTTGTGTGTATGCACGTATGTAAGTATGTGTGAATGTATATATGTTTGTATGTGTATGCATGTTTGCATCTTTGCACGTGTGGATGTATGGATGGATGGAAGGACGTGTGAACGCATATCTTCTATCAACATTGAGGGACTTAGGTTAATTTAGGCTTAGGGTTGCAGGGTTCAGGGTTTATGGACAGGGTTAAAGAACGGATCCGGAGATTTGGGGCTACGGGTCCCACAAAGCTTTGGGACTTCTAAGGGTTGTTATGAGGGTTCTTTTATGTTCTGATATAGAGGCTAACTCATGTTAATGTTCAGAATGGTAATAAAGATAGAAATATCAGCAAGAACAATACCAATATTCATCGCAAGAATATTACCAATAACAACAGCAAGATAGGTATAAGAACAAGACTAATAATCATAATCATAGTCAGACTGCTCGCAACAACGAGAACCATGTTTCGGTGCATGTTCGATTACAATAGTGGCTGTAGAACTCTACATGAAACCCGGCACCCTGTCCTCCCAAACCCTAGGTCCCCACTTTTATGGCTGAGTTCCATATCGAACCCCGAAACCCTATACCCCAAACCCTAAACCCTAAACCTAGACCCTGAACCCCTAAACCCTAAACCCTAAACAGAAGAAGAACGCTGTGGCCCTGGGAGGACAAGGAAGGTGCGCAGGGGCTCCTCCTCGCCACGGCCAGCACCGAGGAGACTTTAGCCTGGTTCCGTATTAGTATTTATATTAGTATTAGTATTTATATTGATACAAATACTAATATTACTACTAGTATTTAATAATAGTATGTGCGGTTTAGGGTTCAGGGTGTAGGGCTTAGGGTTCAGGGCTTAGAGGGATTTAGGGTTTCGGGTTTAAGGTTTAGGGTTTAGGGTGTCTGGTTTAGGGTTCAGGGTTTAGGGTTTAGGGTTCTCGTTTCGCCTGTGAAGCTTTCAGGGACTGAGCCTGTAGGACTTTGTTTCCAAGGCCTCAATTTCCGGACAGACTCCCTCCGTATCGAGATTTTCAGGTCAACCCTAAACCCTAAACTACACCGTTATGTAACACCGACACCAGCCCGAAGTGCTTGAGGATTCAGGTCCAGGCTCTCGGTTCAGGCTTAGGGTTAGGATTTTGGGGTTTACGGTCTAGGGGTTTGGGGTTTAGGATTTAGGGTTTTGGACCACGGCTTAGGGCTTGTCGGCAGTCTGCTCTACTCTACAGCCCTTGAAAATCCCTATGCTACCCTATAGACTTCATGAAGCCCCATACAACACCCTAAGGCCCTAGCCGCATACAACCCTATGAAAACCTTCTGAAACCCAACAGTAAACCTTACCCTAGTAGAGCCACAGCCTACACCCGAAACCCTTGAGCACACCCTTTAGGCTCAGTGTGTGCCCTCTATAGGGTGAGCTGGATCTGCGGAGAAAGCCCGTCACACTTAAACAAAAAAATAGTAGCCCTTGCTTCGTATCTGAGCCTCCTGACTGCCAGGAGCGCCTTGCGGCCACCCACTCGCTGGATCTGCGCCACCTTGCTGCACCTTGAGCTTTCCTGTTTTAAGGTTTTTTTCAGGTTTAGGTTTTAGGGGTTTAGGGTTGTAGATTTGGAACTGGCATGGGAAGAGCGCTCCGCCTAAACTCACAAACCCTTCCATGCGTTGGCGGAACGCAGTAGGTTTCCTGGACCCTCACTGAAACACTGCTCTTGCAGGTTTTCTTTGTGCTTGCGGCCTTTTGCATTTGGACACGTTTGCATTTGCCTGCCTATTGCATTTGCATGCTTTTGCATTTACTAGCTTTTGCGTTTGCTAACTTTTGTTCGGGGCCTTAGCTCCAGAACTTTTGCTACCCTTTGCACGACCCTTTGCTAGCTTTTTCGCTCGAACTCTTGGCTCTTCAAGCGATTTCCTGCGTCTTTCCAGCATACGGGGAGCTCAGACAGCTTGAGGTCTGGTCCGAAGCTCTGCCTGCTGCTATGTGATCGCGCCTGCGCACGAAAATGACGCAAAAGCTGTCTATACATGACATCGCGGAAGTCTTCAAGGCCTTGGATCACCACGTGTGCAACTTCGGCCAAGTCTTTTCTGTCGCTTCTGCTAAGACGCTTCCGGGACCCACCCGGCTGGCCGTGGGCAAATTACTGCTCCCAGTTCTCGGCGATGCGTTCCTGGAACGGCCTGAAGAATTTTCAGATGACTTCTTCATCTTGAGGTCCGATCATTGAAAAGGACTTGGAGCCACAGGTCTGCTCGTCCTGTTTCGATTTGGTGATAGGATTTAAGGTGTTTTGCTCCGGTTCTCTGAGGCCTGTGTCGTCTGCGGACGTCACGCGGCTGGACGAGTGCAAGGCGAAGCCCACATCGCCAAGGCGGCGGAGAAGAAATGGAAGACTAAGCTTGGGCCCAAGCTTGGACTGCCACGACGGGTTTTGGAGGTCTTTTTCATATAACTGCACTCACTGAGGTCTGGGAACGCCTTGGCTGTGGGTGACAAGCTTTGCAACACGCACTGGTCGTCCTTGTCCAGAAAAGTGCCGGTGCAAGTACCCAGGCACCGCGAAGAAGTGCAAGGCGCAGTTTTTCTTTGCGGTCCTTTCTTTCTTCCAGATTTTTCGCTAGTACTTTCTGGTTTCTTCTATCCTGCATCTTGCGTCTTCCTTGCACGCAGGTGTGCTCAGCGGATGATAAGGCCAAGTGAGCCTGCACTTGCGGGAAGCGTAACAGACTTAAAGAAATCTTCGCGTGCTGGGAAGATGTGTGTAAAGTAAACTGTATAAGCAATGATGCCGTTGCACATCTTTCGCACCTCTGTTTGTTGGTTCACGCAGTGCCACTGCCCGCCCGAAAACCGGTTTACTTACAGCGCCTTCATTAGTCATTAGGGAGGCCGTGTCGCCACATTCCAAAGTCCACGCTCGCAAACATGACTTTGCATATGCCTTGCAGGCCAATGTGGAGGTGCACGCCTCGGGAGAGTCCGCCACTGGAATTTACTCTTACCCGTGTTCCTTTGGGGTGTGCACGCGTGCATCACTTTGGATGCTGACGTGGATGCTCAGCCTTTCAGGACATCGGAATGGCTCCAAACCAACGTGCTTTTGGATGTTCTTCCGACCGGAGCCAAGTGCTACCTTGAAGGTGAGCGACCTCTCATTTCAATGGCTCAAGTGCCGAAGCTTCGGCTTGCGCCATAAGCGCATGCTTTGTAGCCGCGTGGTGTGGAAAACAGTGCCTGACAAGCTCACCCGTTGAGCGGAACTGGGAGCACAATACTGCAACTGCGTGGGATGGACCATGCGTTGCTGGGAGGCGGCGATCCCCCTTCTTACCTTTGCATTAGCCTTTATCCCCTTCTTACCTTTGCATTAGCCTTTTGTATTTGCTCAAAGGGTGAATGAGTCCCCTCATAGGGGGTTTCCGATGGTTTCCGTTTGGTTTCTGACGGTTTCGCGCGGTTTCCTCTGGGTTTCGCAAAGGTTCCCTAGATTTGCCGAAGGTTTCCGGCGGTTTCCTTCACGTTTACAACGCGGAGGTTTCTTGTGGTTTCCTATGGGTTTCCCACAGTTTTGATCCTGCTATGAATTCCTCTATTTTGGGGTTTCAGGCCTTTTGCCAGTTTCATGTCTCTGGTTCTTACCAGCTTGAAGCTTGCTGTGATTTCAAAACACTTCGCTGAACAGCCGCTGAGATCTTACGCTCCTACCTTCTCAAGTGTGTCGTCAAAGTCGTAGTTGACCGTCCGCCCATCTGCGTGAACAGCGACACACACAGGCAAGAGTTGTGGGGCCGATTGCAAAGCGTTTGCAGTGCCGCTTGTCTTGGCTGTCGGCTTGTGCAAGTCAGGTATGACTCCAAAACGGGCTCGTCCGCAGGCGCCTGCAGTTGTTCGCCTTTGCCTTTCAGTCGCCGTCGTACACGTCAGGTCCTTGCGCAAGAGCTTCAGGAGCTGAAGCGTCGCCGTGCAGATTCGAAAGCGCGCAGCCGTGCATTGGCCCAGCAAGAGAAGAACCGAAAGAAAAGACGGACAAGGCTTCTGCAAGCGTGCCCGTGTGAGTTGCTACACTGCACTGTTGCAGTTGTTCTCGTGATGCAGGCGGCCAGGCAACCGTGCGTCGTCTGAAGGCCCGGGCGAACCTGGATGAGGCAGTTGTTCTTGACGAAGCTGACGAAGCAGGCAGATGGCAGTACACCCTGAGCGGGTGATAACATGAGTGCTGGACAACAGCCGTGTAGCAGGCGAGCATGCGTCCGGCTCAGGACCGGGCCGAAGCCGAATGCGTGTTTGCCAGAAGTTTTCTCGCAACCTGTCGGCAGGCCTGGGCGAAGATGAGCGTGTTCGAGGTTCGGGACCTCTTGTTAATGCTTCGTGTAGTTCTGACTCCTGAGTGTCCACAGAAGCAGACCAAGCAAATGCGGCGTGAGAGCAATTTGGTAGAGGCCACAGGGCCAGCGTTTCTCCGTTGAAAACTCTTCGTTTCTGAACACTGCCGCCGCGCAGTCTGAATTGCCAGGACGCTCTGCAAGCTCTGACGAAAAAACGTTGATTCTGTGCGACCCAATTCCAGGTCCAGAAAGTGAGAGGATTTTGGTGTCCTGTTGTGTACGGCCTTTGCGAAACAAGAGTGTAAAACCACGGATAAATCGCGTCTAGGATCCGAAAAAAACAACTTCGAAACCCTTCTAGATCCCCTTGTGGGGAACGTGTATAGAACCCTTGTTAGACCCCTATAAAACGCAATTCTTTCAAACAGCCATTGCAAAACCCTACACCTTCAAAATCCCTAAAGCTTCAAACGCGTAAGCCCTACACCCTCAAGCTTAAACCCTAAACCACCAAAATTTCAAACGCCTAAGCCCTACACCCTCAGGCCTATACCCTAAACCATAAAAGCCGTGAGCCCCAAACCCCCCCAAAAAAGGAACTGCGCTTAAAAGCCCTAAAAGCCCGAAAAGCCCTAAAAGCCTTAAGCCTTAAACCAAAAACAAAAACCCTAACAATCTAAAGACTCGAGGCCTCAAGACAGCCTCCTCAGAGCGAAGGCTGACCTTGGTGGAGCCTTGGCCGCCACCGGGGGAGCTACCTCTGGTTAGTAGGGAATGGAAGAATGGTAGTAGCAGTAGTAGTTATAGTTGTATCCGGGTTTATGCTTTAGGCTTTGGGTTTAGGGAATTAGGGGTCTGGGGGTTTGGGTGGTAGAAGGGTTCTACAATTAAATTTGGGGTTCAGGGTTTAGGGCTTTTGGGTGCTGGAAGCGTCCTATTGTAGGAAATTTGGGGAGTGTGGGGTAGACTCCTGAATCCGAAGGCTCAAGCTCGGTTTTTCTGGACTTGGGCAGCCTACTGGGGGTTGAGGAGCTAGAGTTCGGGATGCTGAGTCCCTTCCTCACCTCAGCGTTCGCCACTGCCACTGCCCTTATAAGCCCCGAAACTCTTAAACCCTAAACCCCAAACCATACTCACTAGCATTGCTTCTAGTACTGCCACAAGCGCTGCCGCCAGCACTGCTTTTAGTACCGCGACCTTTGCTGTACAGATATCAGTACTTGATGCTGCACAAATACAGGTGCTACAAGCCGTGCCACCACCAAAACTAGTAGGGCTGCTTCTAAGACGTCGCTTGAGCTACAGCTGGCAATCGCTACTGACCTCATCAAGATCATCATTGTTAGTCTCACTATACTTGTTTTCATTGCACTTGTAATTCTTGCTGTTCCTGTCGCGTCATGTGCATCTGCATGTTCACGCGAGCCTGCGCGGGCCATGTCAAGGAGCCGATGGTGGACGAGTCCTTGACCCTAAAACCCAAACCCTGAACCCTAAACCCCAAACCTTGAACCCTAAACCCCAAACCCTGAACCCCAAACCCTGAACCCTAAACCCCAAACCCTGAACCCTAAACCCCAAACCCTGAACCCTAAACCCCGAACCCGAAACCCCAAACCCATGCCAAGGAGCCGATGGTGGACGAGTCCTTGAAGTTCAAGCTCGATGACCCCTCGGTGGATATGGCGCAGAAGGCCCCAGGGGCGGTGGAAACCAGTTTCAGCTCAAGGGTCCCCCTAAGTCGTACCGTAAACGTTTTGGGTTTAGGGATCAGGGATTAGGGTTTGGGGTTCGGGGTTTAGAGTTTAGCAATTACGGTTCCGGGTTCGGGGTTTGGGAATAGGGTTTAGGGTTTAGGTTTTAACCCGAAGTCCAGAAAAACTAAACCGTTAAGTCTGAGCAGAGGCATCGATGCAACAGATCTCCAGCCTTGGTCTGCTGGACATCGACGAGAACGCGGGCAAGTGTGGCTGGGCGTGGAAGTTTCCAGTTTCCTGGGTTTAAGATTTCGCCTTCCGGCCGAAGGTACGGCTTCAGAGAGTGGTTTTGAGGGGTTTCGAGCTACTCGGGGCGGGATTTCGAAGTTCAACCCTGCATCGGCTTCCCGGGAACTAACGAGCTCTTGAGTTCTTGGGTTCCGGCTCTGAGTCCAGAGGCCCAGGGCCTTGAATTCGGTCCTCTACCCTGAACTCCGGACTTCGACGCATAAAAGCTTCAAACCCCGAACGCTATAATATCATATCGCAACGCCAAAACGTAGGTAGAACAGAGTAGACAAGCACCGACAAGGCTGGTCAGTATTCAAGACTTTGAGACATGATAGATCAATAGACCGTTGGTTTAGACATGTCTTACATCTGCATCTGCATATGCTGCGCATACACAAAGACAAGCATGGATGTATGCATGCGTCCATCCGTCCATCCGTCCGTCCGTCCATCCATCCTGCCTGCCTGCCTGTCAATGCAATGCGATGCAATGCAGTGCAATGCATGCGTAATACATAAGTAAATAGACACACATATACATATGTAAAAAATAGAGAGGTATGTAAGCACCAAGTTTTCAGTATATCATGTGTAAATGTTTCAGTATAAACAGTATATAAGTGGGTATGTATATATATGTATATGTATATGTATATGTATATGTATATGTATATGTATATGTATATGTATATGTATATGTATATGTATATGTATATGTATATGTATATATGTATATGTATATGTATATGTATATGTATATGTATATGTATATGTATATGTATATGTATATGTATATGTATATGTATATGTATATGTATATATGTATATGTATATGTATATGTATATATATATATATATATATACATATGCATATGTATCTACAAACAGGTACACAACATATATACACACATTTATGTATACGCACACACACACACACATGAAGGCCACGATGCAGCACTGCTGGCGGCCTTGAAAGCCTCGAAGAAGGTGCCTCGGAGAGAAGCTGGTGGGCCGTGGTGATCTATCCGGTGCTATGTTGAGGGCTCTTTATTAAAATTACAGTATCATATACCCCAAAACCCTATTCTAATCATTAAGGCCACCAAATTAGCCGGCTTTGGCCACGGTCCTAGCAGCTCTAGCATTGAATTCAATGACTTGGCACATCCAGGGTTTCAAAGCCCTAGGCCCCCAACCACCTAAGGCCCCCAAACCCTGAACCACCGAACTCTCTATCCCCAAAGCCTAAACTTGAAGCCCAAAAACCTAAACCGCTCGGCGCTGAGCCGAAGTTCTCAACTCATCGAAGGTTCCCGCGTACCTGCCAGGGGATCTTTACGGTGTCTACGAGGAAAGCTCGAAACTTTTGATCTCGAGACTTAGACCATAAACCTTCACCCGAAGCTCCGAAAGCCCTAAACCCAAAGCTCTGGCTCTGAAAGCAAACTCTCGGCGCGAAACGGCTGGCATCTTTAACTGTACTGGTATGTCCTATCAACGAAATTAGCTGCTGTTTTGGGTTACAGGGTTTATGGTTGGGGGTTTCAGTGGAACCCTAGATTCCATGGCTGAAACCTCGCCTGCATGGAGCTGCCTGTTGAGGTGGTGGCAGAAGAGACGGCGGAACCGCGCACGGACGTAGCGCCCTTCTTGCGCGTGCCCGAGGCCCTTGGATTATCTTGGGTTGAGGGTCTAGTGGTTACGTTTTTGGGGCTAGTTGGGCTTGTAATCCTTGTCATCGTAGCCATCATGAAATTCAGAGGATGCCTTTCTGGTCTGTGTGCACATGCTTCCTTAATTGGCATTTTCTTGCTGCCAGCCAGCTCCTCCATTTGGCTTGAAGGCTAGAGCGACTTCAGACACCAGGTTCGTTGAAGGGAGCTAGAATAATGTAGGGGCCTTAATAGCAAGAACAGGGTTTTGGGGCCATTTTGCTAGTTTTGTAATGAGGAACCCCAAAATAGTATTGGTATCTATTTAGGCCCCTCCAGCATAGCTGCGGATGCATGACCGACAGATCCACAGCTCACCGCAAGAGGACGGGATCCTCATAGCCAGAAGCCCAAAATCCTAAACCCTCTTAGTGGCGTTGCAGAGAGCCCTTCTAAAAGCCGTTGTAGAATCCTTACAGAAATTCTAAGCGGCATGATGGAGCCTCTGAAATACCCTTGTTAAAGTTTATGGAATCCTTTTCGATTCCTACAAGCCTTTGAATGACCGGTACAAATCATAAACAGTCTCGCTGCTGCTCAGGGTGCTCCGGCCCCTGGTGAGCGGCTTGACGAAGTGACCGCCTCCCAGGCAGCTTTTGGTTACGTAGGGTTTTGGGGTTTGGAGTTTAGGGTTCAGATGTGTAGCGACTTTCGGGTTTGATGTTGGTACATGCACGTTGTCAATGGTAACACCTGCAACAATTCAAACTTACATCCATGTTGAGCTGGCTTAGCAAGAATGTCCATGTCCAACCGTAAATCGGTTGGACATGCATTTGCTGCTGAGAAGTCGAGTCGAATGTTACAGCTGCCTCTAGTACCGTGGTCAAACATAGCCTCCCAGTTGTGGTTTCACATTGCAGCACTTCGTTGTGTTACATTTGCACCTCGAATCCTCCCTCTTCTCACCTAGATTCTATAGATTTGCAGGTGGAGAGCGCCATCAAGGTCAAGGTGGAAGCTGGTGTCGTGCCTTCCATTGAGGCTAGCGGCTTTATTGTTTGACGCTGTTTGGGTTGGCGCAGCTGTGTGATCTTAATCTTATAATCACAAACTTGTAATAAGCCCACACAGTAAACCTTATAGTAAGTTCCCTTATAGTCATGGCAATCCCAAAGAAGCAGCCCCCACAGTAGCCTTGAAAGGGGGCTTCATCACCCCTGCAGTTGCCCTAAGAAACTTCAACCCCTCCAGCGCAGGCCGACAGTCCGACAGTTCCCTAAACCCTGAACCCTTACTTGGGTTCTTGTTGAGGGGTCTCCTTTAAGTTACCATGCTGTAGAAACCATATCATTTGCTATGGAACCCTGTTATGGTAACTTAAATCAAATTCCTTAATGAGAACCCAGTAACCCTAAACTCTAAACCCGAAACCCTAAAATCTAAACCCTCGAACCCTAAACTCTGAACCCTAAACCCTAAACCCTGAACCCCAAACCACAAACCCTAAACCCCAAACCCTAAACTCAAGCCCTGACTATCCCGCCCCCCCTTCCTGGCAGGCCATCGGCTGGAGGGCCCAGTGGTCCGGCGTAGCCATCCTCGTGGGACCCTGAGCCCTTAAGGGTTCCTTTCAGGGGTTCCGGCTTAGTTTCAAGTGGTTCAGTCTTTTTTCTTCGTTTTTTGGAGAAGCCCCAACATGTGGACCTGATACCCTGGACTGCATACCACAGATGAGATCCCAAACCCACAATCCGAAAGCTTTCCCTAGAATCCTGCACGTCGACAAGTTCGACGCCGCTCAGAGATGTGAGAGGTATCTTCAAGCAGCGGGAACCCAGCAGGATCCTGAGCAGAACCCCCCAAGAAGGTACCCCTGAACCCTCAACCCTGCCTGTATGGCACATTCCAGCGCTACATAGTTCTGCCCAAAGGATATCGATGCAGTCTCCAATCCGAAACTCGAAGCTCCAACTCCTAAGCCGCGGCATTACGGTTTTGAGGTTCAGGGGTTTGGGGTTTAGGGGTTTAGGGTTTAGGGTTTAGGGTTTAGGGTTTAGGGGTTAGAGGTTCAGGGGTTTGGGGTTAAGGCTTTGAGGTTAACGCTTCAGGGTTTGAAGTTCAGGATTAACGGGTTAGGGTTTGGTCCAAAGGCATTCTGAACCCCAATGCCGGTGGCCTAGGGTCCTAGACCCGAAACCCTGAACCCCAAACTACTTAAAGAGAGCGGCGAGACATAAACCGAAAAGGTGGCCGGCTCCCTGTTCGCAGTGGGCGAGCGCGTGAGGGGCTCAGCCGGTGGGATCCTTTCTGGCTAACAGGATCATAGGCTTTGGGGCTGTTGGGTTCATTGGGTCCAGTGCCTGAAAGCTCCCAGAAGAAACTTTATTTCTGTCCTCAACTATCGAGGCATCAATCGGGCCTCTACAGTTTTTCCCGGACCCTTCTTAGAGTACAGGCAAGTGTGATAATGCAGACAAGGGCGTTAATAGTTAGAATAGGGTTTGGGGGTATATTCTACTATTGTAATAAGGAACCCTTGAAATAGCGTTGGCAATTATCCACGCCTTGATTTTATGCAGAGCTGCAAGACTGCTGCAAGACATAATGTGAACCTTTGCACGTATCCAAGTCATCGGACGTGTTTGTCTTCTGTGAGCTGTGCAACTGTCCGGACCCACAACGTTCCGCCCTACACCCAAACCCCTCTAAATTTCAATCCCAACCCCCTCAGCACTAAACCCGTACACCCCAAAGCCCTGCAGAAACCTGAAGGTTTAATGTATAGCTTAAGTATAAACATACGGTTAAAATTCACGCACAAAGTAACTGTGCAAGCAGCAAATAATCAAATAACTAACTAACCAAAAGCAAGTAAATACATATACAAACATATACATACATATATCGTACATACCGTACTTCAGTAACTATGCAAAAAGAGTCCCTAACTCTCTATCTCGAGGCTCGGGATGCAGACGGCCAAGCACGCTGGAACAAGCTGAAGCTCCCCTGGCAGTGAGGAGCATGCGGTTTAGGTCGGTTTAGCATAGGGTAAGGCATCTAGGGGTTTAGGGGTTTAGCTGATCAGGGGTTTAGGATTTCGAGGTTTAGGGTATCGGGGTTTAGGGTTGGGGCGTTACCACCTTTCGGGTCATCCGTACAAGGCTTTTGAGTGCAAGGCTAGATGTTTTTCGGGTTGTCAAGGGTGGCCATGGGTTGCAAGCCACTATGCAGACTATGTTGGGTATTTTGGGCAAACTGGTGGTGAACACTTATTTTGTCGTGCAGGACGCTAGCTATCGCGTCATCGTTGCAAAGACCGGAGCGAGAATTGATGGTGAAAGCAAAAAGAAATGCGCTTGCTGCTTACTGAAGAGCTCGCCAACTGCAGAGATGCTATGATGCCACATCGCTGGTTTGTCGACAAAAGACGAATTCCTTGAAATGTGATCCTCACGGAGCCAGACCCAGACCCACAACACTAACCAAGTACCCACCCTGGTACCCTAGGCTTCTAAATCCGGAATTTGTTCGTGCTCCGGTACTACATAGAAGGGACTATAACACCATATAGCAAGACCCAGTTACGCAGCAGCTCCTCTGCCCAGTCAGCATTCCGACCTCTGCATCCAGATATGTACGAGTTCTTTGTGCTTGGTCTTCGTGCTTGAGCAGGGATGCTAAGCTTCTCCAGGAGTTCATCGTGCTGTTAGTGTTTCTGTGCTGCCATCCTTACAGCATTATTCCTCTTCGCATTCGAATTGTCCCGTATGTGTTAACAGCACCTCACAGTTACTACAATTACCCAACATATTTTGCTTACATCTTTTCTCACTCCCTCTTCCTTAGATCTCCCCCAGTTGCTCGGCTTCATGAGTCGAGTTATCCCCCTCTTTAATGAGTCGTGCAGCGCGGCTATTGCATCACATCACATCACATCACGTCGCCTCACGTCACTTCGCATCACGTCGAAGCATACCATGCATTTCATATGTATCGCGGCCTCTTCTCCTAATTCAACAGCTCTTCTGCGGTTTGCTATTACAGTAGTAGGAAGGCACTGCGTTGCCTGCTGACATCACAAATTCACACATCTTGCTTCTTGGCAGTTCAACATGGAGTACTTCGAGAGGCGAGTTGAGGCCAGCGCCCGTGTTCCGGTAATGATTTTGGATCCCACGCTTTCTCAACCAGGTTCCGACGTTATTTGGACTGTGGGGGTGACCGCTGTGGGGAGTCGCCTCGAAATGAATGCCATGTTTGAGGCTTTTGCAATGTCCACACCGGTGGTGCGAACGGAACTGATTACAAAATGCAAAGCCCGTAAGCCGACAATAACCAAAGCCTAAACATCAACATCACCAAGCTGCACGTCGAAGCTTACCAAGATGAGATTGAGTTCTAAAGCCTTGAACCTTAATTCAGACTCAAGACATAAGACCTCAACCCCAAAAGGCACATAAGAAGCACGCAGATGCGCTCACAGCGACCTCATGCAGCTGCAACAGGGATGACGTGCGGCGCTGAAGCTCTTGGAGGTATGACTGTGCATTGCTGAAACAGTGTCTGGTGTTGTTGCAGACTCTGTCACGCTTGCTGCTGTTCTATTTTACAGCAAGCCTTCAAGCAAGTCTTATTCTCACTTAAAGTACCTAGAGCTGCTGCTGCAGTTAAGCCTTTTGCTAGGAGCCACGTTTTGGACGCTTGTGATGTACCTTTGGGACAGTTTCATACCGAGTCTCAATAAGAAGGCAATGGACGCCTATGGTTTTTGTGCAAGAGCGCTTTCCTTCTCATGTGTTCGTAGTTTTGGGAAGCCATGCCTCAGATCCGACAATGCAGCCTTCCTTTCATAGTTCAGGCCTTGGCGGTAGTGGTACTTGCCGCTGCTAGCAAGGCTTGATGGCTTCTACTCGTTTGGCTTTCTATTACAGGCTTGGCCCAGAATGTGAAGGTGGCTGTCAGATCCGGTGCATCCTCCCTTAGTTGCATCGCAAGGATCTTTCGTGCCAGAGAAATCCTGAATCGGAGAAATATATCGTGCCTGTGTGTATTGGAACTTCGCTCAAGAGCATCGTACCCGACCCTCAATGGGTATACGAACACCCACAATCCCGAACCCCAGACCCTGCACCTCAACACCTTCGAACCTCCAAGCCCCCCCCCCCCCCCAGGCCCAAAATCCGCAACTCTGAGGCCCTCCATAAACCCCCATAGATCCCTTATCGATCCCTTTATAGATCGCTTTAAGGAACCCTTTAAGTTACGAAGTCCGATGATCCTTTAAGTCCAGAAACCCCCAAAGCCCCCAAAAGCCAGAGGCTCACGCGCTCGCTCACGCCCTCGCCACCACCCTCGCGTGGAGAGAGGGCCTCGGAAGGTTCAGCTTTCAGAGCTTCCTCAAGGATGTCCGTTTTTGTTGGGGGTTCAGGTTTTGGGTTGGGTTAGATTCCAGGATTCAGGGTTTTGGGTTGGGTTAGATTCGGGAATTCAGGTTTTTTGGGTTGGGTTAGATTCCAGGATTCAGGATTTTGGGTTTTGAGGGCTTTCAATCTGGGTGTTCAGTGGTTCAAACTCTGGAGTCTCGGAGGTTTAGGATCCAATGTTGGTCCAAAGCCAGTAGACAGAGACGCGTGAGTGAGCGTAACAAGAATTCTGATTAGGGAGATAATGCTCAACTTATATACCTTCTTCAGAAATCTTACATTCCCGAACCGGTGGTGTAGTCGCACTGGTGAGCGAATCGTTGACGCCAAGGGCTCGCACACCCTGAAACAAAGCTCAGCATCCAAATCCGACAAACACCGAAGTCTAGGGACGTTTAGGGTTTGGGGTTTTGGGGTTCGGGTTTGGGGAACCCTAAACCCGAAACGCTGAAACCCTGAAAGCTACGCCTAAGTCCCGACATGCTAGCCTTGAGCCCTAAACTATGAAATCCCAACACCCCTGAAGCCCAAAACGCCAACACCCTAAGCCCGTCGGAAACCTGAGCAGTTGAAGTATAGTGTTATATCAAGCCCTTCTCTACACCAAAACCCCATCCTAAACCCTAAACCCTATTCTAAATCTCAAGCACCTTATGATGAGCCAAGGAATCGCCCCCTCGGCTGATCCCGAACCCGGTGACGCTCCAGCCCGTTCGGAGCCCGGACGTTCCGAGACTTTTTTGCAGGGTTTTAGGGTTTATTTCAGAAGCCCTCAAGTTTTGACTCCCAATGTTTCATGGGATCTTCTGGGCCTTGGTGCAACGTGACTTGCCGCCTCTTCATCAACGTACCAAGGACCTATCGACTTTTGGGGTAGCAAACTTTCGGGGTGTTCCTAGTTTGAAGCTTTCCGGGTAGTAAAACTTCAAATTTTACAGACTCCCAAGCTTTGGGGGCAGAAAAACCCTCGGGCTGGACGAGAGACCCGGTGAGGCATCGTCCAGGATTTGGTCTGAGGGTTTGGGCTCGGGGCTTAGACTTTTGGGGTTTCGGTACTCTGGGTTTGGGCTTCGGGATGTAGTTTTTGGGGACTGAAGAGTTTGTATCCGTATCTCTTTTTCAGTCTCTCCTTTTGTTGTAAGTACTTTGTGTGGTATACCGCGCACAAAGCCACTACGCTCGTTACCATAGCCTTGTTCTCGGGGTTTCCGGTTTCAGAGTCCCAGGACCAAAGGTGTCGTGTGCAGGATGCAAACACCTGAAACCCTCCGCTCCCGTTCTGGGCGGTACCCAAAACCCTCCTCAGAAGCACCTCTTTCTCTAGTCCCTTTCCATCCGTTCGGGCTTTCTGTTCGATCGGTTTGCTCCTTGAGGCCGAAGTCCCAAAACCATAAAACCCTATGGAGCCTTTTCCAAGTTCTAGATTCTACAACTCCAAACGGCCCTAACGCGCAAAGCTTTCAACAAGGTCCGTTCATCCACAATCCACCAAGGTGCAACCCTAAACCCTAAACCCGCCTAAACCCGAAACCCTAAACTCTAAACCCTAAAGCTTAAACCCCAAACCCCAAACCCACATTAAAAAAAACCCTAAACCCGAAGCCACCAAGGTCCGGAGCGGCTCCCCCAGACGCCTCGGCCCTGCCCGGCAGAAGCTGAGCGCCAGCAGCGTCGGCGGGAGCCAAAGCCGCTCCGGGACCCTGGCCTCCTCGGGACCGCCAGGCTCCGCTCCGAGCCTTCGCCCCCTTTCCTTATTATTATTTTTTTTTTTTTGGGGGGGGGGGGGGGTAGGGATGTTTGGCGTTTCGAGTTTCGAGTTTCGGGTTTAGGGTTCCAGTTCAGGGTCCAGGGGTAAGAGTTTTAGGCTTTAGGGTTTCCTTAAGGGTTTGGGATTTTAGGGTTAAGGGTTTAGGTTTACTTTAGGGTTTAGGGGTTGGGGCTTGTCAACTTGTGTTGCACGATCTTCGAAATTCGTCAGTTCTCGCACAGGCTGCCTTGAGTTGCGTTGGATCCAGAATCGGAAGCTTCTGCCCCGATGCAGTTTCGCAACGGCCGCCGCCCTCGTCGCTTGAGGTGGAGCCTGCCGGCGGAGTGCGGTAGGGTGCGAAGCGATGGGATTTCTTGGAACTTCGGAGTTCTGTGTTACCCAATACGGAAAGGATCGTGTTCGTCATACCCCCTCCCCCCCGCAGTTTTCTAGCAAATGGGAGTTTCCGAAAACTAGAGGTACCTTATTTGCGGGTCCTTATAATATGGGTCCTATTATTTAAAGTACTATATTAGGGTCCCCTATTTTCGGAAACCCCCTTTTTCGAGCCTACGTCCCCTAAGAAGAACTCAGACATGGGCCAGGTCAAAGTCGTTTTGTTAAGCACCAGCTTCCAGCTGACGACGGTCTGTTTGAGCAAACCGAAAAGGGCAGGACAGGGACCTTAGTTCATTTCCTTGTTGACCCATTGTATTATTGTATTGATTGTGCTAAACCGGGACATTGTTGCTAAACCTTCGGATTCGGCAGTCCCTCGCCTGGCAACGGCTCCCGAGGTGAGTCCCAAAGCTTGTGACATGAGGCCCTGAAGCATTCAACTGCGAC